CCGCGACAACAGGCGTGGGGCCCTTCGCTTGCCTTCTGTCTGTCTGTCTGTCTGTCTGTCTGTCTGTCTGTCTGTCTGTCTGTCTGCCTGCCTGTCAGCAGCAGTGCCTGCGAGGGCTTTATAATGGCGCTCTTTGCGTCGCCGGCCCCCTCCTCCTCAGGTGCGAAGAGCGCCGAAATAGTTTTCACACGACGACGCGTCGCGCTCTACTGTCAACAGTAAACAGACGCAAATCCCCCGTAGTGCGCGTGAGCGTGTGTGTGTGTGGTGTGTGTGTGTGTGTGTGTGTGTGAGTGTGCGTGCGTGTGTGTGTTGCGCGGAGGTGTGTGTAGGTGCGGCTCTCGGTCCGAGAGAGTCGCTTCAGTGTTTTCAAAAGGAATTTTACCGTGGCGCGCACTTGACCTCAACACCCATGTGCTGGTCCTTCCCTCCGGTTTCGGGGAGCGCGGCGCGGCGCGCAGCTTCTCGCGCGGGAAAGAGAAAAGCCCGCCCCGCCCCGCCCCGCCCGCGGCGCACACACTGCACAACACTACCGGGGGCAATTAATCGAACACGTCCCCGGTAATTAAGCCAGGCCAAATTACACGGCGTGCGGGAACCTTGCCTGCCCCTGTGTGTGAGAGTGTGCATGTGGGACAGAGAAAGAGAGAAGGTTGACGGGGGTCCTAGGATTTCGGGGCGTCGGCAGGATTGGGGCGTGGCGGTCCGTGGGAAGGGCGGCGCCACGCCCCCTGTGGGGCCTCTGGGGCCTCTCGCGCTGCTTTTGATGCGAATGAGCGAAGAAACTCACGTCCGCCACCTTGCCCTTGAACGTGGGCAACTTTTACCAGCCCCGTAAGCCCCTGTCTGGATCCGCCCCTGGCTGCTGCGAGAGCCGGGAGGGCACCGCGTTGGTGCCTGCTGGTGGAGGCTGAGGCGTCTCGACCTGGCGACGTGACGGCTCGGATGGTAGTGTAGTGGGAGGAGCACAGTCGATGCCAGGCTTCGGACGATGCTCTGTCTCTCTCGCAGAGTGCGGGGCGCCCCGTGAGTGCGAGAGAGACGGGGCGACTGGAGGGCGCGGCGTCTTGGCGGCGCTGCCGCGCGGAACGCGGCCACTGACGCGGCACGGCGGGGACACCTCAGTCCTCCTCGCCGAAGCGCCTGGCCCAGCGGTTGTCAACCTTTCTCGGCTCGCGACCCCAATTTGAAGCCAAATTCCGCGACCCCGGAAAAATTTCGCGACCCTGGGACCCCTCCTTTAGCATGCCACGGCGTCTGATCCGAGGCGGGATTTTGCTCCCTCAACGGGCAACTGGTCTTTGTACCTTCCTTAGCATGCTTGTTACGGAGTGCAATTATCAGTCTTAGTTGGGGAGCCTTGTCTCAAAGTTGGCCAAAACGCTCAGAAATGTCTATGACAAATCGTGTTTTGGGCTGATTTTAAGCAGCCACAGCGTCTGATCCGAGGCGGGCATTTTGCTCCCTCAACGGGCAGTTGGTCTTTGGACCTTCCTTTAGCATGCCTCTGTACGGTTGCGATTATCAGTCTTAGTTTGGGAGCAGTATTGTCTCAAAGTTGCCCGAAACGGTCAGCAGTTTTTGAACACGTGTTTTGGGCCGATTTTAACAGCCACTGCGTCTGATCCGAGGCGGGCATTTTGCTCCCTCAACGGGCAGTGGTCTTTGGACCTTCCTTTAGCATGCCTTTGTTACGGAGTGCAATTATCAGTCTTAGTTTGGGAGCAGTATTGTCTCAAAGTTGGCCAAACGCTCAGAAATGTCTATGAAAAATCGTGTTTTGGGCTGATTTTAAGCAGCCACAGCGTCTGATCCGAGGCGGGCATTTTGCTCCCTCAACGGGCAGTTGGTCTTTGGACCTTCCTTTAGCATGCCTCTGTTACGGAGTGCGATTATCAGTCTTAGTTTGGGAGCAGTATTGTCTCAAAGTTGGCCGAAACGGTCAGCAGTGTCTTTGAAAAATCGTGTTTTGGGCCGATTTTAAGCAGCCACTGCGTCTGATCCGAGGCGGGCATTTTGCTCCCTCAACGGGCAGTTGGTCTTTGGACCTTCCTTTAGCATGCCTTTGTTACGGAGTGCAATTATCAGTCTTAGTTTGAGAGCAGTATTGTCTCAAAGTTGGCCGAAACGCTCAGAAATGTCTATGAAAAATCGTGTTTTGGGCCGATTTTAAGCAGCCACTGCGTCTGATCCGAGGCGGGCATTTTGCTCCCTCAACGGGCAATTGGTCTTTGGACCTTCCTTTAGCATGCCTTTGTTACGGAGTGCGATTATCAGTCTTAGTTTGGGAGCAGTATTGTCTCAAAGTTGACCAAAATAGTCACAACGATTTTTCAAAGACACTTGCGACCGTTTTGATCGACTTTGAGACAATACTGCTCCCAAACTAAGACTGACAATCGCACTCCGTAACAAAGGCATGCTAAAGGAAGGTCCAAAGACCAATTGCCCGTTGAGGGAGCAAAATGCCCGCCTCGGATCAGACGCAGTGGCTGCTTAAAATCGGTCCAAAACACGATTTTTCATAGACATTTCTGAGCGTTTCGGCCAACTTTGAGACAATACTGCTCTCAAACTAAGACTGATAATTGCACTCCGTAACAAAGGCATGCTAAAGGAAGGTCCAAAGACCGATTGCCCGTTGAGGGAGCAAAATGCCCGCCTCGGATCAGACGCAGTGGCTGCTTAAAATCGGCCTAAAACACGACCCCAGCATCGCCGCGACCCCTTAAAAAAATTTCGCGACCCCGCTTGGGGTCGCGACCCTAAGGTTGAGAACCACTGGCCTGGCCACTCCACTTCTTCAGCTGGCCGGCCATTCGGATCCTTCGGAACTCGCGCCGTGGATCTGCGGACCCGCGGAGCCTGGCCGGCCGAGCCTGGGCCGAGCCAGCGACGCGAAACGCAAACCGAGCCTCTGGGGGGCCCTCCTCGCCGGCCTGGGGCGGACGGACAGTCACTGCGGACGGAAGTTCTGTCGGTACAGCGACCCGGAACACCCTGGCCGGGCGCGCCAAAGTGCAACTGGTGGCAACTGGTTGCACCGGGCTTTGCCGAATGATACTCATTACCGGCGTGGCGGCCTTGGGGGCCTTGGGGGCCTCGGAGGCCTTGCCTGGCGTATGCTGGCGTCGCGTCCCGAGCGTCCCGAGGGCCTCGCTGCCCGGGGCAACGCCACAAAAATTGGACCTGGACGGGTCCTCCTTCTCCCTCTTCGTCTTCCTGTACGCGGATTCTCTCTCTCTCTCTCTCTCTCTCTCTCTCTCTCTCTCTCTCTCTCTCTCTCTCTCTCTCTCTCTCTCTCTCTCTCTCTCTCTCTCTCTCTCTCTCCCCCTCCCCCCTCTCGGCGCCCGCCTCGAGCCGTGGCGTCGTCCTCACTAATTATAGTCGTGCGGGACGTGCGTGTGAGTGCGTCGACGCAAACACCTAGACGTACGTGAGCGCGTTTGTGTGTGTGTGTGTGTGCTCGAGCGTTCCTTGGAAATCATTCATCTTTCGCTCCAACTGCGCGGACGCGTCTCATGTTTATGAACGGCAACGGGAAGTCGGGATGCATCGACGTCGTGGATGCGTCTGTGTGTGTGATTGTTTTTCACCCCTCCCCCTTTCAAACCACACAGACAGACAGACAGACAGACAGACAGACACACGCACGCTGAAATAATAACACGGTCCCTTTCTCACATTAGTGGCGCCTTAACAGATGATGGAAGCCGATGTCCGAGACAGCCGGTCGGCGCGCTGCGTCCGTAACTCTGCCTCCACCTCCACCACCACTACGTCATGCAGGCATAGTCGTTGCGCACTGCACAACAAGTGCGTCCAAATCGATATTTCAATTTTGTTTCAACATAGTCCATAAAATTTGCAAGAAAGGAGAACAAAAACGACGTTAGTCAAACTTTAAGGACCACGAAAACGTGTTAAACGTTTTGTTGTTGTTGTTTTTTTAAATTACAAAAAACGAAAAAGGGTGAACTTTGTCGAAAAACCTCGAGGTGCGGATGCAGTCACACTGGGCGTTACGTGAAAAAGAAACGGGGCCGCGACGCACGGCGCGACGCGGAAGCACGGCGGCTGGGTTCTCCGTTCGGCTTTCCGTCGATGCGATGCGACTCGGCGGCGAATAAATCAACGGGCAGGCGACACGCGCGGCCGCCAGGCACCGCCAGGCGCTAGCGGAGCAGCGCAGCTACTTAGAGCCATCCATTCTGCAACTTGTCATTCGGGCCGTCATTTGGCTGGCGAGACAGAACCGCGTAGGTCGCACGGGGCGGCATGCGGTCGCATGGGGCACCCCGCCCTGGCCGCCTTGCCCCGTTCTTCCGCCACTCCGAGGAATCGGCCCGTCGCTCTGTCTCTCTCGCACGCCCGCGGGACGCCCCAATAAAACAGGGCGAAACGAAACATGAAATGCGGGCCCGACGCGGGATCTCAGTGGTCGGCGCCGGGAGGTCGCTCGGTCGGTATAGATCTGCGGTGAGGTTACTTTCTATGCGTTACGAGGAGGCGGACGGCAGTCCGGGCACACTGCCGCCACGCCGCGCCCCGAAATCGAATCTCGGCGCCGAGTCGAGCCCGTCTCATCATCGGGACCCCACCGGGGGCGCCGCCGTGCACGTTTTACCGGCAAGCCCCACCCCACCCCACCCCGCCCCGCCGCGTGGTCTGGCTGCTTCGACTCACTGACTGACGGGAAAGTGATTCAATTAAGGACCTGACCTAATCACCGAGGAATGATCTCCATAGGCGATCGCGGAACAGATTGCACTCACACCGACTCACACTCACGCACGCGCAACACACACACACACATACACTTTTCCTTTCTCGCCTCGGCTGCGGCCATCAAGCGACAGCAGAGGACCCGAAGCGTGCGGCGGCAAAAAAGTGAAATAACCTAACACTCCTCTTAGTTGTAACCTAATGACGTTAATTTATTTCTGATACAGGTGGGCCCCGCCCGATGGCCAGACTGAGCTCCCAATGACGTCACTCACCTTGCACAGCAGCACGCCGGTCTCCAGGCCGTCGAGGAAGTTGTCGACGCCGAGGTCCAGCCCCGGGTACAGCGCGTTGAGCCACTCGGCCAGGTCCTCCTTCATGGCGTACAGGTACTCCTCGGAGGACTTGAAGGGCCGGTAGGGCCGCGCCTCGAGCAGCGCCATCTGCAACAGGAAGGGAAGGGGCGCGTGTTAGGGCGGACCGTGCGAGAGGTTCAAGAAGGGCGAGGGAGGACCGCGACGACACTTTCGCCTTCAAGGGGCCGAGGCACGCGGGGCGTACTCGGCCGCCAAATTTACGGACGACGTGCCCCAGCGGGGTGGGGCGGGGCGGGGCGGCACTAACCGCACGCATTAAAAGCGACACGGGCACGCCCGTCGTGCACCGCGTCGGTGTCCAGGTCGTCCGTCGCGCACCCCGGAACTGCTCTTTTCGCGGTCCAAATCGAAAAGCACGCCGTAGTGCGATGGAGGAATGCTGGACAGGCTCACACACACACACACACACACTGACGCACACACACCTCTTTTCCCTTGCCTGTTCCCGCACCTGACGCGGCCGCCGCGGAGCCTCCCAGCCCATAAAACCGCGGCTGGCGCTTGTCGCGCGGCTTGTCGCCGGAGCGGCACTAGGACCTCCTTACGGGCCTTACGGGCCTGGAGGCTGGCTAAGAGGGCGTCCTCTAACGTAACGTCGCGTCCCTTTATGCGCGAGTCCGCCCATCCGCCAGTCCGCCCGTCCTCCAAGTCGGACGCCCAGCCACTTCAAGGGTTTTCGATCCTTTCGGAGCCACAGCGCACGGCGCGCCAGAAGAAAGAGGATGGTGACTGGCACAAACAACAACAACAACAACAAGTTGTCGCGGATGTCACGTCGCGTGTGTGTGTGTGTGTGTCACGACGCACCGCAGTGAGAGCAGCGCGGCACTCGCCACGCAATAAAAATATTCTCTTAAAACACGGCGGGGATAACGCCAAGCGTTTTACACACGCCCGGCCGGACAACCCGCAGAACCTGGACGGGGAGGCTCAAGAAGAAGAAGGAGGAGAAGCCTGCCCTGCTCCAGGACAGGCCGGCCCATCGCATTTGGCACCAACGCTGATTCCGCTCGCTCTGTCTCTCTCGCACTCATAGGGCGTCCGGGGAAGGCGTGAGGAGGACAGTGCATGGAGGCGATGGACCGAGCCCAGCGAGGTCCTGGACCTAGCGCCCGTCAGCTGCCATGGACGCCGTGGACGCCGTGGACGCCGTGCCGCGCTGCGCTCCCGATCCCCCACCTAGACGCCCCGCTACGCCCTGCCGCGGCACTGCCGGGGCACCGCGACGCCTGCAGGTCATCGACAGCCCCCCTCCTCCTCACTGGACCTGGACGCGGCGCGGCGGTCCCTGCCGCTTCCTTCCGAAATGGGCGTGAATTCGGGCGCCAGCAGCAGCGCGGCAGCATTTCCAGGGCAGGGTAGCCGGCGCCGTGCCGTTGCCTTGCCGACGCCGCGGCCTGGCGAAGTTCCAAGGTCGGCCGCGGCGTGCGCTAGTGCCCGTCCAGGCCGTGCAGGCCGTGCAGGCCGTCACGCTCCGCGGCGCCGGCCGTCCGCCCTACGGAGTGCGGACACGGCGCCTAGGAGGTCCTGGGCCTCCGGGCCGGACGGGCTTGACAGTGTCGTGGGGCGTCCTGGAGCATCCTGGACGCGAAGACACCTGTCCGTCCGCGCGTGGTGTGGAGAAGGCCCGTCCGGCGCGGCCAGCGCGGAGAGTTCAACGCCCGAGCGAGAGTGCGAGCGTCGCGGACCAACCGCACCGCGCCGCCCACGCCGGGTACACTGCCAACAGCGGCCGTCTCTCTCGCACCCCGACGGGTGCCCCGTGACTGCGAGAGAGACAGAGACCAAAGTTCGCAATGAACCTGCAGCCTGCAGATAGGCGAGCGCATTAATTCTTTCCCAGCTCCCTGCCGCCAGGTCCGCGCGCCTCGCTCTGAAAGGTGCAGAGAAGCGTGCGGGCGAACACCTCGCCAACAGGGGCGGGGAAAAAAGAAAAAGAGGCGCATTTTGCATGACAAGTTAGCGGGGCAGGGCGCGCCACGCCACCCCCCGCTTCGAAACACATCAGAGCAAGATGAATCTTGGCAAGGCGGAGTCGCGGCCAGTTCGCGGCGGCTTTGCAATTTGTCCAACGCGCCGCGCCGCACCGCGGTGGGAACGGGCTTAGTGCTCGGAGCGGTAACGCGGCAGGGGGCCTGCTCGGCCGGCAGACCGAGTCGCTCCGTCTCTCTCGCACCTGTGCGGGGCGCCCATGAGTGCGAGGGAGACAGAGCGACGCTAAGGCTCTCGGAATCAGTCGGCTGCTCGTAGGAGGGCCACGCAAAACGACGACCATAGCGCGGAGCGCGACCGGCCGGCCCTCGACCCGCCGCATGTCGCAGCCGTCAGGACAATCCACGCCGACAACACGGCGTCGCTAAAAAGTTTAAAAGAGTTTAATCGCTTGTCAGTGCAGCTTGCAAGCTAGCAAGGTGCTCAGGGGTATTTTTTGGTACCGGGGTGAGCATTGGAGCATGTTTCATTTTCCACAGGAAAATCACTGGAAAAGTCCATTTCCTGCACGTGTCGGTAGTCAAGTCGGATCAAGTTGCCGATCGAAATGGCTGCTGTTCCTATAAGGCGTACCCTTTTTCTCCGGGGGCTTCTAGCTGATCCCCGATCGAACGAGATGAAGTAGTGGCGGGCGGGGCGGGGCGGGGCGGGGCGTTCCAAGGGGCGGCCGCTAAGGCGATTAGCGCTGGCATTAATGCCCCACGCGGGCGGCAAGAAAACGACAGCAAAAACGACCAAGACAACAACAACAAGAAAACGGCGAGCAGACGCCGCCGCCGCACAGGCCGCACAGCGCGCAGTCGGGCCCCATATTATGGCGTCTAATCTCATTAGGAAACGTTTCCATTAGAAAATCCCCCGACGTCGTCCGCTCTGGTGTCCGCCGGGTCAACCTGCGCGATGTGTGTGTGTGTGTCTGTGTGTGTGTGTGTGTGTGTGTGTGTGGTGTGTGTGTGTGTGTGTGTGTGTGTGTGTGTGTGGTGTGTTGGACGTTATGTTATCCGCGCGCAACATGTGTCGCCTCTTCCGCGTGCATTCTGCCTGGCGGCAAAAATTCAAGGACTATAGTACTGCAAAAATGACGAGGGAATGTGACGCTTTGCTTGCTCAGGAGCGCTTAGAAGCCCACAACGGGTTCGACTGTTTGGCTATCGGGGCGTTGCCCCCCCCCCCCCCTCGGCCCACGCCGTTGCCCAAGCCAGGCGGTGCGGCGCCGTGCAGCGCTACCCGCTCACTCACGTCTCGACACGTGCGCGGCCACGTGGCGAAAGACGAAGGACGCGCGGCGGTTCGACGCCGGGCCGACGACGAATCCTCGAAAGAGAGAGAGACGCACAGTTACGTCCTGGACACTGGCCAGCAGAGTAAACGGACCCACGTGCGCTGGAGAGAGAGAGAGAGAGAGAGAGAGAGAGAGAGAGAGAGAGAGAGAGAGAGAGAGAGAGAGAGAGAGAGAGAGAGGTGACGCAACGCACCGTTATACCTGTAAATCATCCATCGGGGGAGGCAGCCAACTGCCTGCAAAGTGGCCCTGCCGGCGGGCCCGCCGCGGAGCCCGCGGTGCAGCGGCCGGTAGTTCCCCTTTGCCTCTCTAGGCGGGCTGCCGGGGCCGACGGCGACCGTGCTGCCCTGCAGGGGGAGGGGGGGGGGGAACACCAATGTCCAGCATCCGAAAACGTAGAAGAACGGACATCGCGTTGTCCAGGGCGCGATGCTCGCGTCGCCTGGGACGCGGCGGCCGCTGCAAGCGCGGCGTGGCGCGTGCCTGCCACGACCTTTCTCGGCACCGGCAGGCCGCGGCAGGCCGGCGGGAGGAGCGGACCTGAGTGAAAATAAATGCCGGTCCATCGTTCACGAGGCGGGCTCGTCCGGGACGGCACGGCCAGCGTCCGGCAGGCCCGCTCCGAACAGGCTCGCTCTGCCTCCCTCGCGCTCGGGCGCCGTTCCAGGGGTGCGAGCGGGACGGACAGGGCTCTGGCTGCGCGCTGCAAGGGATCGGGCCGCGGGGCGCGGGTGAGCTTAGGCCCTGGGTGCAGCCGGGGCCGGCCATTCATCAGCCCGCCGAATGGCTGACGCGGTGCGGCGGCCGGGGCCTACACTGGCAGCACGGCCGGCACCCATGGCCGCCGAGCCTCGGCCAGGCAATGACCCGCCAAACACTCGACAATTCCCACGCCGAAACGGGAAAAATGGCCGGCGGGACGGCGGGGAGGGGGCCTCCTTGTCGTCGAGCAGCAACAGGCGTGCTCGTGATGGGCTTGTCGGCGGCGTCCGCGATGACTTTCACGCCCCGGGCCGCGCGCCACTTTGGCGGTTCGAAAGGGCGGTGGACGGTCCGGCCGAAAAGACGTCTCGTTTTGCAGAAAACCGCGGGGGAGGGATGGAGGGGACGCCGCCCGGCTTTTGCAGTGCAGGCGGGGTGGTCATAGGGATGTAAAAATACCGGTAAGATTCAAAGTTACGTAAATAAGGGTAAAATACGGTATTTTACTGTATTATACGGTATATTTGGGTAAAGTAAAATTTTATCGTTTTGATCCACTTTGCTGCGATACCGCTCCCAAACTAAGGCGGCCAATCGCACTCCGTAACAAAGGTGTTCTAAAGGAAGGCCCAAAGACCAGCTACCCGTTGGGGGAGAACGCGTGGCCACCTTAGATCAGACGCAGTGGCTGCCCAAAGTCAGCCCAAACGACGATTTCTACACATTTGATACCGTTTCCACAAACTTTGCTGCAATACCGCTCCCAAACTAAGGCGGCCAATCGCACTCCGTAACAAAGGTGTTCTAAAGGAAGGCCCAAAGACCAGCTACCCGTTGGGGGAGAACGCGTGGCCACCTTAGATCAGACGCAGTGGCTGCCCAAAGTCAGCCCAAACGACGATTTCTACACATTTGATACCGTTTCCACAAACTTTGCTGCAATACCGCTCCCAAACTAAGGCGGCCAATCGCACTCCGTAACAAAGGTGTTCTAAAGGAAGGCCCAAAGACCAGCTACCCGTTGGGGGAGAACGCGTGGCCACCTTAGATCAGACGCAGTGGCTGCCCAAAGTCAGCCCAAACGACGATT